CGCTCTGATGGATTTATGGAGCTACAGGTAATTCGGCAGGCGTGGGTTCCTCTGCTTCTGAAGAACAGAGTCCCCCAGCAGGCACCAGGCACCTTATACTATGTGTTGATGGAGAAATCCCCAACACCTAATGGGGAAGACAGCAGCCATTGCGAGGCCAGCTCTGAAGACCATCTAGCTCACAACCGTGCTTTCTCTATATTGTCACTATATTGGCCACTAGATGGAGCTATGCATCGCACCAAAAAGACACCAGAGGTGAAGCTGATTTTCTCCAAGTTCCGTAGATAGAATCCTTGAGATTCAGAGCTGGAGACAGCAAGTTATATAAGTCCAAGGTCCTGGGAGGGTGGGCATGGGGAACAGACCATGCACAAATAGTCATCCAATACCTACTTGTACTCTCTGAGTTTAGAAAAATAATGGGCACGGCCTGAGTACCAGGAACCCCACCTTTGATGGGAGACCGAGAGACAGACAGGCACACAAACACAGAGTACGTGATGGTTCTTGAGCATCCTGGACTCTGCCAAGCACTTTTCAAGTTCTGTCACTAGGTCCCAAAGGTTAGCGACCAGTCCCAGTTCATTTGGCAAAGCCAGGATTCACTCTCAATTCCATTTGCCTTTTAAGACTGTTTGCTCTCCTCGACACCAGCCAGCCCCTCTCAAACACTTCCTGCACAAAGTGAGAAGTTCACGTAAGGTTGGGTGTGAACCAAGGCCACCAGAAACACACAGACAGAGGTAACTCAGGCTGAGGACTTCAGGACAGCATCACAAAGGAAGATTTCTTTAATTACTATTATTATTTTTTTAGGAGGTGTCTATTTTTTAGGATAAGTCAGATGGGTTTGAGGCAAAAGGAATGCCATGGAGAAAGAGCCACGTCCTGAAGCACCAAGCTTTACACATGTAGGACACAGCTTTGGGTACTGAATGTCAGGTAGCCCAGGGCAGTGGGAAGTGTAGGACATGTCGGGGGGATGTGGCCAGGGCTGAGGCAGGGAGGGCAGTGGATGAAAAGACCATAAAGAGCTTCCCACGTACAGTTGAGATCTGTTCCCACAAGATGGGAAGCCATCAAAGGTTCTTGGAAAAATTTCTGATGTTACATTTAAATGATCTTTTTTTTTTTTTTTTTTCTGGGAAGGGATGTATACTTTGGAACATGATACAACTCAGTGTCTCCTCTGAAAAGAAAAAAAAAATCATCTTTCCAAACATATGGATGTTAAGTCTGTCCCTTTAATTTTATTCTATACCATATGGCACTTTGAATTTTTAGAAGATCAGTAAGCAGATTGACTTCACAGATCAAAACTTAGCAGGAGACATCTTTGTCTGTTATTTTCACTTCTTTTCCATTAAGTACAGCCAAAGTCCAATTTATTGATCTAATAAAAGGAAGTGGCCAGGTCCGGCAACAACATGTAAAGGACTTAGACACGCCTAGTACATTCTAAGTGCAATGGAAGAGTTTGATAAATACACACTTTGAAAGACAAGAGGTATTTGCTATTAGGTTCTTAGCAAAACTCAGTGGAAATAAAGTCATTTCAGCCGCACCTTAGGGAGAACTGAGTATTGCACACAGGTGCTCATGCACACGCAGCCAGTGGAGACAATGGACTAGAGACAGCAAAAAACAGCTGCTATGTACCAAGCTGGGGTAGTGTGTCCTTAAAAAAAAAAAAAAAAAAAGTTCATAGGTTTTCAGAAACCAGAACTTAACGTCAGGCATTCTAAAAAAACTCGCTGTAAACTTTCACAAAAACTTTACTTAAAGAGTCCCCAAAGGGATTTATATGCAACTCATACATCAAGGCTGCTCCCACTAGCCAAATAAGCATCTGGATGAAAACTTTCATCCTCTCACTGTTTCCAAGTGTCTGGATGTTTGAGGCTGATAAGACATCTAGACCTTGTCTGAAGCTCTGTGTCTTCATCAGATATTTGCCATTAATCAGATACAACTTCAAAGAGAAGTATCTAATTGTAGAAAGCTGAAGACCATTTTAATTGTAGCGCTGCAAGGCTTAGGGGAGGAAAGTGACAGACTTAAGGTCACAGAGCTTGCAAGGGGTAGAGGAAGGCTCCAGCACGGACATCTTAGTCTTTTCTTTCCACCACATCAACCACTTCAGCGAAATGACTTCCTTAGCAGAGCGTAAAGCCCAGAAGAAGAGCCCAGACCTTGGATACCTACACATTGTCATGTGTAGAAGAGCGGAGTACAAAGGACAGTAAAGCTGAACTCAGCATAGGAAGGCGCACTGGTAACATGGTTTCAAAGCAGAAACTCACGCACATTTCCATAAAGTGTTATCCTACTTAACTCGTGTTCCGGAGTGTTACAACTAAAAGGAGCATTCGATGCCATTTCGGCTCCCGCCCTCCGCATTTGGAAGGTAAAGCTCTCCACTAAAAAAAGCCAGACCAGAGTTCTCCAGTTTCAATCACTGGGTGGTTTGCTTACATTTCCGTGATTTTATCTACACTTGCTCTGAACATATCTGACTTGCTCAAAGTCTAGGGTTTCCCGAAGCAGGAGCTGAAATGTAAACACTTGTGCTGTTTCACAGGGATAAAAGTTATGGCTGAAGAGCTAAAAAAAAAAACCCAAAAACAAACAAACAAACAAAAAAACTGGGAATGTCTCTCCGAGACATCACTAAGGATCAGGGGACGGTGTTTTTCAATGTCTCCACCTTGTGGAAATGGTCAATACTGCATCACGATCAGACACTGACCAACTATTGAGGATGAAGACTGAAGTGACAGTAAAATTAACTATTATAGGATAGCCAAAAAAAAAAAAAAAAAAAAAGAAGAAGAAAGAAGGAAAATCTCAAAATAACTAAAAAATATTTCAGTAGCATATTACAGTGGGAATTGATGGTGATAATCTTGAGGCATGTTGGATACCAAAAGTCTAATTAAATAATAATAAAAAGGCTAAAGTATATGCAGTTTAATTTTAGTAATAGGTGTAAGTGTCTATTTTTTGTGCCATGGAAAGCCAGCAACACAAAATGATGCTCTTAGTTACCCAGATCATTTCCAATCCATTAGTGTTGTCAGCCATTCCAGAAAGCAGAAATTTGTTACAAAGGGTTGGATGGTTCCTATCTTCCAAGGTTTCCCTCACCAAGATAGTTCTAAAAGTGACAGGCAGAAAGAAAGCCAAAGAACCTCTGTAGCTGAGATTTCCATTGAGTAAAAGAACATGCCTACTCAGACAGATAAACTTAAGCAAAGGTATTTTTGAAATAAACTCCAGCAGTTGTGATATTTTAATGTAGCAATAAAATATTGGGCAAGATGGTGTACTAACAGGCTCTCTTTGAAGCCACAAACTCTGGGCTCTGCCTCCTAATCACTTTGGGACCTTGGGCAAGTTATTGAACCCTCCGGAGCCTCAGTTTACTCGTCCATAGAATGGGAATTATGATATCACCTGCTTTTGCTAGGAGAACAGAACAAGATAATGTATATAAAGCCCTGGCCCAGGGCTCAGCACCCAGTGGGAGCATTAGCTATTATCAAGCTTATGAAAGTACGGACTCACCCTTGGGGGTCCTGATTACTCTGTTCATGGAAAGGAGCAGTATGATTATTCTTCCTGATTTCTACTATCTGCAATTTTTTTGACTGCTAGAATGGGAGAGGAGGAAAAGACGCTGGAGAACTTCTGTACAAGGGAGGCTAACACATGGAGAAATCCCAGGCAAGTGAAATAAACAGAGGCACCTTCTGTTTACACAGCAGTCTGGAAGTGGAGCTAAAGTCAGCCGTCCACGCCTCGTGCCACCCTTGGCCACGATGCGGCTCAGACACCATCCCACCAATCCCCCGAACTTCACGTGTGAGCAAATGGATCACAGGGAGGCTGGGTTTGTTCCTTCACCTATCGAAGCATATGTTCATTCATTCAGCACAATTTCTAAGCCCCTGCATGTACAGGGCACTGGGGACAAGGCGGCGAACAAGCCAGCCGATGCCCCTGCTTCGTGGCGCTTACCGTGTGGTAAGCACGAGGAGCGGAAAGACAATAGAACATAAACACATCAACAGGATAACTTCAAATAGTGATAAGCTTTCAAAGGAGCATAAGATGATGACGGAGAGGACGAGGGCAAGGGGTAGGCCACGTAACTCCTTCAAGGTGAATGGTCAAGGACGGCTCCCCCAAAGAGAGGCCAGCGGGGCAAGGAGGAAGGTCTCAGACTTGCTGAGACCAAAGATAGGGGTGTAGAAGTGAGGCCGACAGTGCACAGCCCGGGAGGCAGTGACGAGCTTAATGAGACCGGAGAGAAGGAGCAGCCACAGCAGAGGAAGCAAGGCGGGTGGAGAGCGGGGAGCTCTGAGGGGAAGGTGAGGGCCACATCCCATAGGGCCAGGGAGGCCAGGCTGAAGAGTCTGGTTTTCAAATCTTAAGTGCAAGGCTTGGTTTCAAGGATCAATACAGTAGGTTGGGGGTTTTTTTGTTTTCTCATTTTAAGATTTTATTTATTTATTTGATGGAGAGAGCGAGAGAGCACAAGCAGGGAGAGCGGCCGAGGGAGAGGGAGAAGCAGGGAACCTGACGCGGGGTTACTCACATCAGCTCGAGGGGGGATTCCCACTGAGCAGGGAACCCAATGTGGGGCTCGATCCCAGGATTCTGGGATCATGACCTGAGCCGAAGGCAGACACTTAACCATCTGAGCCACCCAGGCGCCCCGGCACAATAGGTTTGTTACCAACCATTGCTCTGGTTACCGCTGGAGCCTTGCTAGACCCCCCAGCAAGTTACTGCCGAAGTCTGGACAGCAGCCCACATCTGGTGACTCTCAGCCCAGGAGGTTCCCTTCCAACCACACAGCCTTTGACGGAGCAGAAAGCAAAGTAGACAGTTTGATCTCCTTCAGAGAACTTAAACAAAGCCCAGCAAAAGAGAAACAGGCTCCCAAGCCACCTCCCGCTCTGGGAAAAGAGAGAGAAGCCCCAGGTACTCACCCACTCGTGATGTCATCCGTCCGGATGTTCTTGCTCAGAACATCCCCGTCACTCATGTAGCCGGGGGCGTCCATGCTGATGCCTTCCAGGTCTATCTCGTCTCCTGCCTTGTCTGAGACATCCACGTGGCACACGCTGCTTCCCCTGGAGGCCAGCTGCCTCCTCAGGGGGGCAGAGTACACGTAGCGGCCCGACTCGGTGTTGATGAAGCGGCTGGCATTGGCTCGAGGTGGGTACCCGTTGCCCATAGAGGGGGCGTCTCCCGCTTGCAGCCGAGGGCTGGACTGGCCAAGTCTCCAGGACAGGGGAGTGGGTCTGCTGGTCAAGCTGAGGATACTGCGCCCGCTTATCTCTGTGGTGACGTTGGTGTCAAATGTGGTCTCCAATGTGCTGAAAACATCAAACCAGCCTTGGCTTAGACAGACTCTCATGTGCTTGCAGTTTATATGTTCTTTACATTTTTTGAGAACTGTGAAATATTTCCTATATACAAAATTGGATCAAATAACAGCCACTGATATACCACGCAGCGTGTTTCCTTTGTGAGAAATGAAAAGACGAAGCTGTACATCTGTAGGACACTCTGAAAAGCCCAGCAGAGACCTTCCCCCTAAAACATGGTATAAGATACCTACTACCAATTCCTTTCGTTAAGTGATCTTAACTATTGGAATCTCCCTTCCAACCCGAGAAAATAAAGAGAAAATGCCGAAACAATAACGAGGGGTTGTAACATACCCATGGGCCCACACCTTCTTGCAGATTGTGTCACAGCTCCCCTTTCTACCCTTTCCACTCTGGAGTTCCCAGTGTCATCCGTCACATGCTCAGCTCCCATGGACCAAGCAGGTGGGGAGAGCCCTGATTTTCTAGCTCTAAGCTCCCTTTCCCCAACACTTTTGCTTCTCCCACATTTTCTCCAAAAGGACAACTAAACTTTTGGAGGAAAAGGCTGGGAGAGTAGGATATACCCAGGCTTGAGGTCCATAATAAATTAAGTCACAAGGATCTGATTTTGTCAGGAGGCTGGGCTCATCCCTGGCCATTGATAAGTCTCCTGTGTCCACACTCATGGCCCTGTAGCTCTTGTGGTCCAAGCAAGCTGGTCAGTGTACCTCTGTGGAGGACCCTGGGGTCTTCTGATTGAGCAGAGAGTGTCTTTCCTGCAGAAAAGCCATCAAAGGTCTCCCTGCTGTCATCATGACCATCCTAGCTCATGCCAAGAAAGCCATCCAATAGTCACATCCCACCTCCCCAGCAAGTCAGTTTTGGTGATCAGGGTGGAAAGAGGATGTTTCATACTTGATCACAAAGTCTCAGGGCCTACCGGTTGGCTCCACACCATCACATAGCTGAAGGTTTGGCAGGGGGCACCCCACCATCACCCCCTAAGCTGACTGTCCTCTGGAAGAACCAATTTGGTGCCTCAGCTGTTTTACTGTTTCCCTCTGATTCGAGAAACAGCCTTAGTATCCTCACACTGGGGTAAGGTTCAGGCCCCTGTCTTATTTAAGAGAGAACTCCCAGTGCTTCACCCCTGGGGAAGCCCTGCTGTCTCCCTGCTCTATCCATTGATCAAAGAGATCGAAATTGGAGAACAGGAGACTCCTCGGGAGTCCACGGGGGTAACCAGGACGTTGCCTTCATTATCAAAGCCCAGCACAAACCATAAAACTTGATTCTGCCAAAATCCACCAAGGGGTGTCTGAGGGCTGCATCCTCTTCAACTTCTTCCTCAACACTGAAAACAACCTGATGAGTGTTTCCAACGGAATCCTAGATTTCATCCAACTAAATCATAGTTTAAACGTGATCCTAAGTTTTTATAAATATTACCTTACGTGTCTCATATGCGGGCATGACTAACAACATTACAGAGCGTTGTGTATCAGAAGACTGGGTAGGAATTCAAGCTACTCACTTTATCACACAGGTCAAATATAGTTCACCTGCTCCTTTTCACAGCACAGTACAGGCTCGGAAAAGGCAAGGAAAGCGAAACCTAATGGAACTGGTCCACCGCGCTCTCTGCCGCATAGATCTAGCACCATCTGCTTGGGGGAGCGACCAGCCTACCCTCGTTTTCACTCCTTCCAGTTCTCTTCTGCACATCACCTGGCATTCCCTGTGAGTTCTAGCACATTGGGGGATCAAAGTTATTTATTTCATTACTAGCTAAGGCGCTCTGCCAGTGGCACAAACACACACAGGAGAAGCTGCATGGAAACCAAGCTGCCTGCAAGTCCGTGAAGGAATTCACGGGGCGGACGCCTACCTGTGTGTGACCTGAGTCCCCCGTAAACTAGACATGGTCTCCTCCAAATTCTGCCGCAGGTCGGCGATGTTCTTCACTGTCCGCAGTCGCCGGGCCTCGGGGTCTTCCCCTGGAATGATGGTGGTTAAGACGTTTAGTTCTCTGCTCGATCGTGAGCGCTGTGAAACACGCCACGTTCCACGCTCACCGGGGGACGCTTAAGGATCTGAGAACACGTGGATGGATGGACGCCCAAAGGAAGCTGTTAAAATCCAAGGAGAGAAGTCTTTCTTTCCCCTCCAGGTCCCTCCTGAGAAAGGTGAAGTCTAGCTTATAGGAGAAGCCAGGCACCCAGTCTGAGGGGTAAATACGTTTTCAAACAGTCTCCAATAAAGACACACACAAGTTAGGTCTGAGCACCCCCCACGATGCATCTTCTGCCCACGCAAAAGCGGGTGAGGCATTTCATCTTCTTACCCACTGGCGATAACACGCTGCTCTCTACCAGCCCTACTTCGTCAATGGAATTGGCACAGTGGCTAAAAGATCTTCACTTATTAATCACAAATACTCCTACAGAGAGAGGTCTGCCTCTTTCTGTGAGATTTGCTATGTCTCAAATTCTGGTTCCTCTAACTCACTGGCTGTGGGACTCGGGGGAAGGTGCTGACCCTCTCTAGCCTTCCGATTCCAGAGGATTGCAATGAGGACGGTAACAGCCATGACCTCGTAGGACAGCGGTAGGGAATTAAACGGGCTGGGGTCTGGAGATCCCTGAGCACAGAGCCCAACTCAAGCACTGACCCAGGCCCGCTGGTACTGCAGGGTGGGAAGCCATCAAGAGGACCGAGGGCTTCTCTTTGGGCCACAAGAGACTTCATTCTCGGGGCAAGATTTTCTGGAGGACACCTGGCCAGGCAGAGGTCAAGCCGGGTCAAGTGTACCAGGAGACAAAGGCCATACAGAAGCTGGAAAACCACGTGCCCTCAAGAGTAGCCTTGCTCTGGGTTCTCTGGCAATTCTGTTTTGTTTGGGCTGAGAGGGTGCAGAGGAGACGGGAATCACCCCAAGCATGATGAAAAGGAATAAGTGTCCTTTCCTCAGAGTAATTCCAGGGAGGGCTGAGAAGACCACAGAAGCACCATCGAGACTCTTGAAAAGCCTGTGACTCTCTCAGTCAAAAGAGTTGAGCAACCTTATTAAAGAAATCTCCACACAGAACACAGGGCACACGGGCAGCAGCGAGGAGGATTTACACGAGACGCCAAGGAGAACTCCCAGCGGTCGCCATTAAGAAGGCAACAGGCCGCGAAGAAATGGTACAGCATCGACTTTCTTTCTGAGACAAAACAGCCTCCGTAGGTCGTTCTTGACACGGTGGTGCCTGGAGGCTGGCAGATGGACCGAATGATAAATGTGTGATTTTATGGGGAAAACTGGCTCTAGCCAACTCTCTTGTCCTTGAAAATGCCAAGTGTTTTCAATTTTCTCCCCCTTTTGAACCAAGAGAAAGTTGGAAGGCATTTTTCTCTTATCTGAAAAGTGGTCCAGCTTGCATTTCCCACCCAATTCTTTAAAAATACATCTATGGATGTGTTTTTGAAAGGAAAGCAGTGATGAATGTTTGCTTACCTCCCCTGAGAGGCGCTGGAAGACAGTAACTGTATCTTTCTCCTGGGGCCATCAGGTAAATATCTTTAGTTTGGCCACATTCTATCTATGTAAGAAGGCCAAAAAGGTACTGACCCTTTGGACAGGTCTAGGCCCTGCGGTACACATTTATCAAAGCTAAGTCCAGGCACACATTTTCAAATTAATTAATCACATATCAAATTATAATAATTATACTTATTTCTCCAAGTCTCTCCTAATTGACATGTTTGTCTGCTAACTCTCCTTTAGAAATTCAAAGATCTTCGACATGGGAAGGTAACTCACCCTTACTCTTAGTGACCGTCACACAAATCTATGGATGCCTGAGACCTATTTATTGTCCAGAAATGCTTGGTCAGTGTAGGGTTGAAGAAAAAGCACAGACTATTTGCACTTTGACAGACAAAGACTTGAATCTTGGCAGTGCTGCACTTGACTTCGAGTAAGTCACTGATCTTTCCGAATGCCATCTGTAAAACGGGGATGAGAACCTTCCCTGAAAGGGTCAGTCGGAGGATTAAATGAAGATGCATATTATATGCCTGGCCCAAGAGAAGGGCATGTTGGATTTGGGCTTCATTCTTTTCCCTGGGGTGGGGTGTGTGTGTGTGTGGGGGGGGGGGAAGGTCTGCTGGGAAATGTCTGCTCCCCTCAGAGCTCTACACATACCAGATTCCAAGAGCAATGCAGAAAGGCAAGCCAAGAACCCACCTGCCTTGCTTAGGTGATCACACTCTAAATTGCCAATTCTGCCCCACGGATGATGTAAGAGTCCCCTACCAACTCACCCCCTGAACAAAATAAGAACCCGACCATGCTCCCATGGGAAGGGAGGCTCCTTCTGCTCATATACAGAAATGTTAAGCTAATCCACGCTCCCTGCAGCTCTGCTGAATTTGCAAGGTCAGCCTTCCTCAGGCCACTGGTCGTGATGGACAGCACACCACATTCTGATCACATAGAGCCGAGTTTGGGGGATGTCAGGGTGTTACAAGGGGAACATGGAAGGGACTCAGGATTTTTACTTGGAGGAAGGAGCCTTAAGGAAGAACCTGTTGTATGACAGAGAATGGAAATTATCTGTGGGCTACAGGAGATGGATTATATCCAGTGACTAGAAATGAAAGAATAAAGAAGTCTGTTATTAGTTAGAGTCAACAAAAATGGAAAGGCTGCCTTATGAAGGAATAACTTCCTGTCCCAAATATCCAAGCAGAGACGGAAAGACATTTCATCAGTGATGGGCAGAAGGGATTCAAGGATCAGATAATAAACAGGTGTGCATGTTTCCTTCTAACCTTACCACCCAAGATGCAGGTCTCAGGTGTAATTTTTTTTTAATATATTAAAAAAATTTTTTTTAAGATTTTAGTTATTCATTTGACAGAGAGAGGGGGATCACAAGTAGGCAGAGCAGCAGGCAGAGAGAGAGGGGGAAGCAGGCTCTCCGCTGAGCAGAGAGCCCGACACGGGGCTCGATCCCAGGTCCCTGAGATCATGACCTGAGCCAAAGGCAGAAGCTTAACCCACTGAGCCACCCAGGTGCCCCCTCAGGTGTAATGTTATGCAAATGACAAAGCACCATGGGAAAATCCACCTGGTCCCCCTTCCCTGCCAAAGGAGGGGAAGAACAAACCAATTGGTCAAATCGTCTCCTAAATGTCCATTTCTTTCTTTTGTTTTTCTTTTTTCTTTTCTTTTTTCTTTTTCTTCTTATTTTTTTGAAAGAGCGAGTGAGTGTGGAGCCCAATGCAGAACTTGACCGATCTCATGACCCTGAGATGATGACATGAGCCCAAATCAAGAGTCAGGCACTCAAGTGACAGAGCCACCCAGGTTCCCCCTAAAAATCTATTTCTAAATACACCTACCATTCACTGTCATTTCAAGGGATCGGCTGTGGATAAGTTCATTTAACCTTGTACTACCATTTGCTGTCTCTATAAAATAATCCACAGTACAGTCACACATTTGATTTCTACTCCTTGAATGTAAAGACAAGCCACTCTGATTAAGAAATTCCCATCAGCAAAAGGAAGAAAAAGGAAGAAAAGAAGGAAGGAAGGAAGGGCAGGCAAAATTCCCATCAACAATACATGTCATCAGACTTCACAAAAACCAGAGTGCGTGATCAGACAAGCCTGGCTGCACAGATCCGTCCCCCATACCAACTGCAGCATCTCGGGTTCCCCGAACACGTCCTTGGCTGTGCAGGCCCGACGCAGAGGAGACACATGGAGAAAGGGAAGAACCGGTGAAAGATCACAGGCTGTAATCTGTCACTCTGAAATTCAAGTGTGATGTGGAATGTTCTCTGGTTGCTGCTTTTGCTTTTCAAATGTGAATTCTGCCAGCCTGTGTCTGACACGAATCCACACTACTCCACGGGACACACGTCTGATACACGCCGGGCTCTCGGAGCGCTGGCCCGGCTCCTTTGATGTGTGCACAAAAGAACACGGGCTGGAATGCATGTGGAGGCCTGAGCCGTCACCGAACGCCACGCCCTTCTCGTAGTGGGCTCTTCGGCTGGCCTCTCTGTGTCCTCATCTGCAAGGGGGCTACGGAGCTTGGTGAGAAGGAAGCACAAAATCAATCCCAAATGTGGGGCCCTGAGCCGCTGCACGACAGATCACTTATAAATGGCCTCAAAACGCTGCCCCGTCACCGCGCCCGGCCAGCAGAACCAGAAGGAAATAGTTAAATCGCTGAGAGCCTCTGAAATTAATACTCAGGGTTAATGGTGAGATGGGTACGATTCCATCACGTGGGCTGCAGACCAATTCCACAGCTGTAATGTGGCTATTAAAATGGTGTGGTCATGGATATTTAGTCTAATAAATGGATTTTAAACATGGATTCAATTTTTAACCCAACTCTGGAAGTGGTAAGATATGTGAAGAATAACACAACCACTGCTAAATATGTGGTTTACCGCTTGCTTCCCTGATTAGAAGTTGCTGGAAGAGAGGGCACAGAGTTGGGGAACAGGGAAGACAGACAGACGGGGTGGTAACTCCAAATCCAGGGCAGGAGGAATCCTAACTCTTACGCTAACTTTTCTCCTTTAAGAATGTGGCAGTATAACATTAATAAATCAGTATCTGTGCCATTAACTACATGGCAACTGTGGATTTTATGTTTTCACATAAAATTCTTTCCGATTAATGGATAATGCTAAGAATGCGTTTTCAATCAGTGCTTCCATACACGAAAGAAAAGAAGACAGTGTTTTATAGCAAAAGTGACTTTATCTGAAGAGTAAACAAGGAGATTCAAGGTTAAGTGTCAGAGCAGCCCAGAGCCCCTACATGAATGAAATGGAATACGTATTAAAATAAGATCTGCCAATAAGTAAGGGACATACTTAACGATTCTAGGGACGAGGAAGTGAATTGTGTGAGAGAGGACAGGAAGCAAGAAGAAAGAAAATAGTAAAAAATTAACGTTAAGTTCCCTTAGCTCATCCATCAATGCAACAGTGAAGTCACTCTGAGTCAGGCTGGGTTTATGCCCTTCCAGCAGGTGGCCATACGGGAGGCCTCATCTCCAGCAGACACAGACGTTCCGGGGGCTCCATACTCACCAGTGAGTTCTTGCAGAGCAGGCTGTCCACTCTTGGTGTAGTGGCTGGGCTCCATGCTCACACCCGCGGAGCTGGATTCAGCAGTAACATTCCCTTCGGTGTCTGTCTGGGACCTTCACACACAAACCAAAGCAGACACACTTGTCACAAGCAGTAGCTACCACATCTGGACCACTGTGGTCTGACCACAGCACCCACCCACCATCACTCCCTTCGACAAGAAGCTTTAGAACAGAGCAGACCAACAGACTGACTCTAAATAATTCATCGGCGCATGTGGAGCAATGTCCTAGAAACAGAGAGAGCCACCGAACTGTAAAAGATGAAATATTCATTGCCCAAACGCAGGGTCTGCAAGCCCTCACTGCGGAAGCTTCTCTGAGTCCCCATCAGGGAGCTAGGTCTAGCCAGAAAAACGCTGGAGAGTACAGCGTGGTTTGGATCATTTAACCTCTGCCAAAGAGCAAACTTCTGAGTACTCAGCAATGCCAGCAAGTCAAGCATAAAGATGACTCCATTAAAAGCCCCACAGCCCTCCCCCGATCCTCCTGACATGGCTCTCTCTGAAGAGGTGACTATGAAACGGGTCGGGAGTGGGTGCCAAGCAGGTGTGTTTGCCCTCTCCGTCTCTGATTCAGAGCTCAGATCTTCTGAGATGAAAGGTCGCATTGATCATTATTTCAACACTTGACTGAAATCTGTACTTCCCCAAACCTTCTCCGTGCCCTCATTTGTCAAGCAAATCAAGGCAACTGCTTCGTGCAATGCCTTCTTGTCACAATTATCTCTGCTGACTTCGGCATGGTGTGCAAATGCATAATTGCACTCAGATGCATAACCCTGGGTGTAGCCTTATTAATTCATTAGCATCCTGAGCTCATTCAGCCGGATTTCACTCTCTATGAAGAAAGCGTTTGCCAAGAATGTGAACGGTCTTCAGTGTGGGGCGTACTGGGAAACCTCGTCATCCATCCTGCCCCGCCTGTGCCCTCCAAATGAAGCCATCAGTTCCAAATTCCTGCTGTCTCCAACCGTTGAGAATATTCGGATCCACACTGCTCCTCTGGACCCACTGGCCAGAGTCCAAGGTCTCATCCTCTCTGCCCTAGAAGTACGGTGTAAACAGGTACACTGCCTCCAGCCTACGGGTTGCGAACCGCAGCCAAGTATTGGAACCAGCCCACGGATTCTCACTGGTCTGTGTAGTATTTTAACGCTTTTTGAATTCGTTTCAACATTTTAAAATTGGGAGATTTCGCAAGAAATATCTGGATTTCTGCCTTGTCCCTTTCTCTTCTTTTTCCGTAAAAACAAAGAAAGTCCTGATTGACTTTCTTGCAGGGCACTACCTGCTGGTGCCAAGGGATGGTTGCTCCCTCCGGAGAAGCCCAGAACTCCGGAGGCCACAGTCCCATTACCCAAGCCGCTGATTTATATTACCGTTTGGGTCTGAATCAGGTATCTGAATCCATGCTCTCTATTCTAGACTGCCTGTAGGTCTGGTCTGCTCCCCACACTATCCTCCGCTGATTTTTGTGATACTCGGGTGATCACATCCCTCTGAGGAAAGGCCTCTGATTGTTTCCATTGTCCACGGAGAAAGTTCTTAAGTCCTTACTGTGGAAGACAATGCCCCATTGGGGATTCTTCCTTCATCCCCAGCCCTGTCTTCTACCACTCCTGCCCTTTACACATACCCGGGGCCCGATATTCCACCTGAGCCTTCCCTCCATTTTGAGATCACATCACGCCCTTAGGAGTTATGTCTTTGTAGTTACTGGGACCTGTGCCCGAAGGCTCTTTTCCTCCTTCTTCCTCACTTTGCATCCAATCTGCCTTCAGCACGCAGTTCCCATGTCATCTTGGCCAGGAAGGCTCCCCGGGCGGTGCTAGCTCATGGCTCCCCTTGTGTGTTTCTCCAGGGCTCTTACTCATCTGATGCCGATACATTACAATGGGATCTAATTAATACACCTTTCCTCAACCACTGAGCTCTCTGAAAGCAAAGACTGGCTTTTTTGATATGTACCTGCAAGAACTTGAGCTGATCAAGTTCACTTGTACAGTAGAGGTCAGCAGGGTGTGATGAATGGACATATGAGAAATGTTTAAGTCTGGAAAGATGCTGGATACGGGAAGGAGCATTAGACTCGGAGTCTGAACCCTCCCGGCTGTAGGACTGTAGCTGGCTGGAGGTTAGCCTGCACCTCTGAGAAGTCACTTCACACCTCTGACCATCAGGTTCCCCATCTGTGCAGCAGGGCTTACAACAGCGACCTCCCCTGGCTGCTACAAGAATCACACGTGATAAGACACTGAAGCATTTGGTCAAGTGTCAAGTAATAGATGTCCAGGGTTACTTCTGAATTGATAAACAGAACTCATTCAGAGTGATTTTAAACGATGATTTATCTTTCTTTTGTGGCTTGATAACATCACTAACATGGACAGATTCTGGGGGGTGTGGGGTGGGGTGGGGTGGGGGGAGCAGCACAAATTGTCTGCTGTGAGCCATGAACTTGAGTGAACTTCAGAGCACAAGGGGTGTCTAACCTGTTTTTCTTAAAAAATCCCCACATTTCATCCAGTCTCCTCATTCTACAGATGAGGACAAGGTAGATCAGAGAGATGCAGTGATTCAGAGAGTCAAAACTGGTTTGTGTTTAGGAACTCGGTCCCTCTAGTTAGACAGACTTGGTTTTAAACACCAGCTCTCCTAGTTATTAGCTCTGGACTTGGTGCAAGTTATTTAATTACTATAAGCCTCAGTTTGCTCACCTACAGAATGGGTATTTCAAAAATAGCTAGCTCATGGCATGTCGGGGTGACTATATGGGCTAGGGCACGAAAAGCCCTTTGCTGGGTCTCTGCACATACTTGGTGCATAGTCTCCCTAGCTGTCCCCAAAGGCAGGGCCCAAGACTACACGGGGAGTCACCAGCTAATAAAAGACAGAGCCCGGTTGCTCCAATTCCCATCCTGGTTCACCTGACAAGGAAAGGCACGTCAGGGGGGCCAGAAGGACATCGCACGCGGTGAACGTGAACATGAAAATGCAGCTTGACAAAGAGCATGACATTTTCTCATTCCTCCTATTTGTCAGACATTTGCCCTTTCGTTAAGAGTTTTCCTCTCACAGAAAAGCTTGAAATTTTAAAAGAGGTTAAATGTCTCACAATCCTTCCAATGATTACAGAAAAAAAAAAGAAAGAGGGAGTGAAATGGATGGTGACCAAAGACCATCCTATATTTTAATTTGGAAAATGCAAATCAAGACTCTGTGAGCAGGAGCTTGAATATGCGTGACCTCAAGACTATTAACATTATTGGAATGATAAAAATTTCATGGGGAGCAATTCAATTGCCTCCACGGTTCAGAGGACAGTTGTATTCAAAGCCCTGCGTGGAGACGCACAAGCGCTGAGTCATTCATTCTCTAAGCCCGGGCACTCTTCTCCAACTGTTAGCTGAGCTGATGACTTGGTGGAATAAAGAGATGACCTTCTCCCAATTAAAAAATCTGGGCATGACCCCTGCTGAAGGGGAGAGTGAGCCGAAGAGAAGGAAAGAGGGACGAGAAGAGGCCTGGCATTCCCTCCCTGGCTGGACCTGCTGGGCTTTGCTCTGAATCAGTCGGGCCAGTCTTTCCAGCCGCCATTGGTAGGGATGGTAACAAAGCCTCCCAGAGTACAACTTGGGGAGTGAGAGAAAGGATATCCAAGTCTTTGGGGGACCATGTCAACACAGGAAGCTGAAAGTGTGGGCATGAGTGTATGCATATGAACAGGGATGTGAATACACGTGGGCACACGCACACTAGCATTTTGTACAGGAAGGTGGACTTGCGTCCATACTTGTGACTGTCAACGTACGTCCGTGCCTGTGGGCATACGAGTGTGTACGTGTGTACGTGTCTGTATTTAGGCCAGAGGCTTTACAGGAAGTGCCTAGGACATGGCATTCAGTCTCCGGTCCCCTTCTGCTAGGCAGGCAGGCAGGGGTATCACGAACATTCGGCTGTGCAGAGTGGCCAAAGGCGCTGTGCATTTCAAATATGGGATCGAGGTGAGCACGGTGAGCAAAGCCTTGGGACGCCCTTAAAAGCAGTGTTAAGGGAGCTTCTGCCTGCTGGAGGGGACTCATCTGCATGTGTCAAGGACCACCCAGAACCAGTTGGGTGTGGGCGGAGCCATCGGAGGCCCCCGTGGGCCACCAGCACACAGAGCGAGCAGCACCTGGCTCCCCGTGCTTGCCCATGGTCCTGTGGATGTGCCGTTAGAGACAGACAGGGACGGGGCGACACGGAGTCAGACAAGCAAACATCCAGGCCTGTCTCAGTATAACCTGGTTCTTTCGTTCTTCTAGAACTGGTCCCTTCCTCCCGTTCCCGCTAGCCTCTCCAAAGAGCCTAGCTCACAGCAAGGACTGAAAAAATGCCTAATACGTGTGATGCAGCAAGAAACCATGAGTGTGTAGAAGTTCAAAACCTGTGAGAAGAAGCCCCAGGTATCCAGCAAGGGGACTTCCGTGTTGCTCATTTTTGGGAGCCTGTTCGGGATCCGTTAGGGCTGACGCTGGGGCTGGTCACGTCGGGTGACACCAAACCACCCGCCGTGTCTGCCCGTGCTGAGGCTGCTTCTGTAAATGGCTCTGGGTCCCCACATGCCCAGCAAACTCCTTCTCATCTGGGGCAGCTCCTTAGCTTTCCCTCCCGCTGCTCCCCAAAGCCATGCTGGGCTGACTGCTCCCTCGAGCACAGGTGCACAGCCCTATGAGGAGCCTCGCCTCAGCCGGTCGCTCGCCTGTTCCTGGAAGGCAGGCCAGAGTCCCATCCTCCAAGACCTAGACCGCACCAGAGAGGCTCCCTGGCACATGGCCCAGGACGGGTGGGCAGACACCTACCTGTACAGGAAAGGCGCAACGGTGGCGGTGTTGGGGTGGCTGTATTGCTGCTGGGGCTGAGGTAGTTGGACACTGACGGTATTGCTTCCCGTGGTCTGGGTGGTCCCGACGGACCCGCTGACAGTCTGGCTGCTGATGCTGTGGTTCAGGGTGGTCCCTCCAGGGCCTTTGCCTTCTGAGGACGCCAGGCTGGAGGAGGAACTGGAGTGTCTGCCGTCTAGCTGGGGCTTCTGCTGGGGGAGCCCCGAGCTCGGCTTCCCACCCCGGCTCCGCTCCACCTCCTTGGAAGGGGCAGGGGCACTTGGGGATTTCCCGGGCACGCTCTTCATCCCTGGTTTTGGTATTCCACTGTGGGAAGGGGCCGGAGCCTCCTTCTTGGCACTGTTGAGCTTTCCCCCTTTGGGGATGAAGCTGGCGATCTTGGAGGACTTTTTTGGCATCTCAGTCAGCACCGTCCCACTGGGGTCTTCTTTCGGCCCCTCTTTGAGGTCTGGCCTTTCTGTCACAGAGGCTCTCTTGGCGAGGTCCTTGCTTTTCTCCTTCTCTTTCTCCCGCTGCTGTTTCTCCTTTTCTTTCTCATTGCCTTTCGGGGAGCTCTTCTTGTTGGTCAGCGCCCGGCTGAAAGTCCTCTGGGCGATGCCCTTGAGCGCAATCTTGGGGCTGTTGGAAGCGGGACCTGCCGTGGACAGCGAGCGCGCGGTGACCTCCATCTCCTCGCTCTCCTCAAAGCTGGGCAGAATCTCCAGCCGCTCGCAGCTCGTGTCCCGCGACCCGGGGCCCTCGCCTGCTTTGGAAGCCCCTTTGCTATTGAAAAGCTTGAGTTTTTCCAGCATGGACTTCTGATTGTTGGGGGCCGGCTTCATGGCTTCGGGGGCGGGCCTGGGGGCCTCAGGCACAGGCTGCTTGACCGAGAGCACGGACGCCGTGACGCTGTGCTTCACGCTGACCGACTTACTGCGCCAGGGCTTGGAGGCAGCGCCGGGCTGTGGGATGGCTGAGGATGCGCTGCTGTTAGCAGGGCTGGGACTGCTGCCGCTCTCCAGAGAAGCAGGTGCATTTTCGCTCATTCCGGGGTGGGTGGAGGCGGGGCTCGCCAATGGCTCTGCAGAGATGGGAAAGAGAAGGAAAACCAAATTATGCCTACGGACCTGCGCTGTGGGTGCGGGAGGGCGGGCCATGGTTCCAGGGTCCATCGCTCTCTACCCAAATGCCAGATGACACCATTCCCCGCCTTGTGCATTTACCTGTAGGTTCAAATCCTACCTGCCCGCTGCTCTCCATCATACCCTGTTCATGTTACCGGCACATTCTGGTATCTGTCATGCAAATGTGCATGGATCTTAGCACCAACATGTGCAAAGCACAATTAAGCATACATTTACGGAAACATAAACTAGCCAAAAAGTCTATCTATGGTATGTAGGAAAGACGTAGGAAATGCCTACTGTTATGAATTATTCAACCCACAACCCGAGTTCTCAGTTACGCGAAATAACTGGGAATTAGCCAACTTTAAGAAATATAGGAGAGACATTAAAACAGGGGGAAGAAAAGAAAGAAAGAGAAACCAAGCATAATCTTTACAGAATAATTACCTGAGGAATTTGCTAGGTCCTATCAAAGCAGACACGTTTTTCCTATGCTGACACTCTGAAGGAGGTATAAACATGATTCAGGCAAGACTTTTAAAAAGACCTTTTAGCTTCAGAGTATCCACTGCATACGCTTTACCGGAGGCATAAAAACACACAGGTTATCGGAAAGTCAAGGCTTCCCCTTTGGCGCTCGGGGAGTGTTTCCTCAGCCAGACTCTCTGCTCAGACAAGCCTCAGGATACTTCCAAACTGAGAATCTGAATGATTCTACGAAGGGCAGTTTCCATACTGGAGTTCTCCTGCCCGGCGAGGGGCCCATATTCCAGGAACAAGGGCTGTGATGCCCTCCTCAGGGAGCGCTCAGAACCACACCGCTCTGTCACAGGCATTAGGGCAACTGTCAGACAGAAAGTGACCCAGAAGGCAAGTCCCCGCTGAGCCTGGAGTCGCGCCACCAACAGCCCATGCCCGCCTACCCCACGGGACAGACAGGATGCGGCACCGCAGCCCCCAAAGGGCACGTCCGCGTCTGCAAAGTCACCATGACACGACTTACCTAGGAGCAGTAACTTCCTCCTGCAACGGTTCCCCAGGAAAAATTCTCCAACGGGAGAGGCTGCCCTTCCAATTGTCACAAGTGTTTTCAGTTAAACTGCTCATGTTTCTAATTAACTTTTGTCATCCGCAACCGCTCCAGTGCCCAGAAGCCTGGCGGGATTAACGGCTGCTTCTTCTGCCTTTTTTTTTTTTTTTTAATACCTATGTTCCGCTGCCTTCTAGCAACAGAGTAAACTGTGTAGAGAGCGGCTTTTTATGATTTGAAAGTCAACGGCCGCCAAAGCCGAATGCAGACAGCCCCCGTGTGGGACCTGAGCACTGAGCCCGGAGAACTCCCAGCAAAGGAACCGCTTCCCTCCACTCACTCCCAGCTGCTCCAGGAAGCCGCAGCTCCAGGGTGATCCAAAGCAGACCTCCCAATGTTTTAAAACACATACATCTTCCTGACTTACTGGGGATTTCGGTTTGGAGCGGGGGGGGGTGCTGCCCAAACCTCCCTAACAAAACTCATGGGGCGTTGCTGGATCTTTTCCTGGGGAGAGCTGCAGACTGGCTTGGAAACAGGCTCTCGAACCCACCCACTCGGCCGGGCTTTCAGAGGGTCTCCATGGGCCTGATGCTGCTCATGGAGGGCCACCTGGTATCAGGAGGTGCAGCGCTAGGCACGCCGTGAAGATGAGTTCACTGCCCCCATTTTATGAGTCGGGAAACAGAGGCTCAAGGGAGGGCTAACGACTGACCTGAAATCACATAGCTAGAGGTGGAAATAGCCGGGACTTGAACCCAGGGCTCCTGACACATTGCTCCGGGCCTGAATCATCACAGCTCCCTCCTTTGATGAGGGATACATTTAAACAAGAGACACTCAAAGGAGCTTTTGAGGCATCAACTTTTCTGTTGCTTAGGTGTGTTCACGACATCCTTGGTGGGGTACAAGCCAGCCCAGCCACTGGGAAGGAGGCAGCTTCTGGACAGAGGCTGGGTCTCTGGAGGAAATCCTTGTGACCTCCGTTCCCGAGTTCTACTTCTCCCAGGACAACTGTCTTTCCCATTACTTGAGCTCAGATCTGGGGCAGAAGCATTTTATTATTTGTTCATTCAAATATCTTTCCTCATGTCAATATTCACTCACTCAATGTGTGTCAGACATGGCTCCTGGTACTCAGGATACATCAATGCAATACAACAAGACCCTGCCTTCATGAAGTTTACATTCTAGCAGAGAGGAACAGCTGGAATTAACATAGTTAATCAGTGTTATCAATCATTAGAAAACAAGCACTCCATGACGTAGTGAGCCCTGGGTACTACACAAGACGGATGAGTCACTGACCTCTACCTCTTAAACGAGTAATACAGTATATGTGAATCGAATTTACATTTTTTTAAAATGGGAAAAAACAGTAAGTGCTAAAGAAAAGGGGGTCTTTGTGGGCAGGTTGTAACCATGGACTCCGTTACAAGAACTACATCACATTCGGAGGTGCGTCCCGGTTTCCCAAAGAAGTCTTGGGCACATTCCACCGAACCTAAGTACGTGGGTCAGGGTGACTTCTCTGCTCCCACACATTCCTTGGAACTTCCATAAAGCCTCCTTGAAATGGTTTTGACAAATGCCTCTACCTCGCACGTCCGTGTATTTTTAACCTTAACGTGCCCAGCTGGAAACTAGCCAATGACTGACGAGCTCACGACTGATCCAGAGTTACACAGACACCTAGCTTGGATACGAGAAACGTACAGACCGAGATGAGGCTGTGTGCCTCCTTCAGACACAAGGTGCCAGGTGGGGGAAGGGCTGTCATGATGTAGGCGCTGTCGCTTCTCAGGCTGGGCCAAAATGGCTCCCAGAAACTCCTACTTGTCTTTTAAAGCCCTGCTCAGATGTCTTCTCTGTCACAGTGAGACCTTAAAACTGAATGAATCACTCCGTTTACATCACATGGCCTTTTTCCCTACTCTGTGCTTCCCTAGAATATTGTCCACATCTCCCCCACAACAGATTTCAGAGGGCCACCTCCTTCCACTAGGTACCGGGAATCCAGGAAAATAAAATAGAGCTCCTGCCCTCTAGGAACTCACTGTCCAAAGATGCAACAGGCCTCCAAGAGAGCAAAGAACAGTGTAAGGGACTGTGGCGGGCTGTACCAAGGGCCATGAGGGCTAATGGTTGGGATCCATTAATTCTCCCATTTGGGAAAGCCTCACAGAACCAATGAGTTTTGAACTGTCGTGCCATGTTTCTGCTATAGGTTGGGGGGCTATCCGCTGGTCCCCCCTCCCTGTCTCGTCTTTGTGCCCTATAGCTCTCCAGAGTATAGGAAACACTCATGGCTTTGAGATTGTAGTTTGGTAGTCTGGGCTTTTACAATTCACATATAAGGCAAGAGAGACGCAGACTTCTGATTAGTCATTAGAGTTTTATTAAAACTTTCTAGCCTGAACTCTGGCAAAAACAAAAAACAAAATCAGGACTCAAAGCTTCAGAATTTCTACTTGGCATGTAGCTTGGGGTCCCCTGGTTATGGAATCATGGGGACATTTCAAGGTTATTTGTCACAGTTGTACAAGGTTGAGAGGATCTGCATTTGGTTTTCAGAACAGGAGTTTCCTGAGTAAAGCAACAGGGCACCAGAGGAGGATAAGACCATCTATATTTTGCACTTACGTCATGGCTAGAAATCCCCTTAATAGTTAATAGTGAAGGGGGCTCAAGGTCATGAGTGGTTTGACATGTTCCCATCATTCTGAAGGTATCACACTAGTGACTTTGGTTTAAGTGGCTGTTGGGGACCTATTCCTCTTTCTTTGGAAAGCAGCCATTTCTAATGCTGGGATTTTGTGATTCCCAGCATGAGACTGTCCTCACCTTGCTTTGGGTAGGTGAGCCAAGATTTAAGCTTTGTCACCAGCCAACGGTGTAACCCTAGATGCGCCATTTTGCCCCTCTGGGCCTCAGTCATCCATTTGTAAGAAAGGATGAGCTATTTCTCTAGTGTCTTTTCAGCTCCACTTCCATTCAAAACTCAGACTCTCCAAGAGGCCCAGTGGAGGTTGGAACCAGAAAATGCAGTCCTGTCATTTACTCTGGGTTGTGACATACAGGTGTTTCTTTACCTCCAAGCATTCCGCCTCCATGGTTCTCTTAAGATGGTTATTAGTAAATGTCAGAGAAAACTGTCTGGGTCAAGAAAGAGTCAGCCTTGAATGAGGAGCTTGTGAATTCAGAAATCCTGGTATTCTATGAAAACGAGCCTGGGGGAGGGAAAGTGGGGAGAGACCTTTAAAATTAAGAGCACTTCTCTCCCTAATAAGGAACAGCTCTAGTTTCTGTTCTCATACAAACCTTTGTTAGAGCTAAGGAATCTAAGAGGGAGAAAAGAGAAAAACATCAAAGAATGTTCTGAACATCAGTATTTCTCCGTCAATGGTGTGTGGGCCACTGAAGTGAGTGAAACTCTTTTCAATGGCACATGGGTGAATATTTTTAAAAAATTTTTTATTTAAATGTAATTTATTTAACACACACTGTATTATTATTTTCAGAGGTGGATGATTATTTTTATATTTTAAAAGTCATATATTTGTTTTATTGCAATATTAGAAAAGATAACTAGCACATATATAAGTTAACTGTTTCATGGATATTTGATAGAGATTTAAAATTTGAGTCGATTTAACGAAAATATAAAACAAAAGAAGTTCACCGATTTGGCAAAACTCACGCAAGTTTGTGAAAGACTGAAGTTGGGGAGACACTTCTCCATTAAATCAAGAAATACTTTTTACATAAAATTATAATAAATATTTTATAAATACCTACTTATATTAAATCTATTTTTTTGGAGAATGTAACCAATGAAATAGAAATCAAACCAGAAGGCCAAAATAAGGACTAGGTTCAAAGCGAATCTGAAATGGGTCCCTTTTGGAGTTGTATTTATTGCGT